GTGGGCATGATGCGCGAGAACCATTGAAGTCTATTTAGCACCTCACACATGTTTTATCTTCTGTGTTTAATGTATTTGATGAGCACTTTTGTAACGAATCACTTGGAAGTCATTTATTTACCATTTACTTTTATCTGCCGTCAGACAATGAGACATCGTGCGTCTTACTATCTGGAAATCATTTAGCAGTCTAACATAGTACACGTAAAAAGTTTTTTTTTTTTTTTACAATAAATAAAAAGAAAACGCACTCATTTACTAACGTCGGTTCCATGAGATATGGGAACGAGTACTGACGCTTATAGGGAAAACTCCTTTTCTCTGATTTTTTCAATAATGCTGTGTAACTGCACGGCCATTCTGGCATAGGATCCTCAGGTTAATTCGACTGAAGCCATGACACTGAGTCGCTGAGTCGAGACACTGAAGTCACAGAGGTCAGTCCGGCCTTGGATAATGGTTCCAAAAACGATCCTGTACAGCCTCTGCACTTAAGGAGGGCCGAGAGCGTACCTGAAGTGAGGCAAAAAGTCTGAAGGATTGGACTTGCCTTGGTGCATGCCCATTTATGCAGAAAGGACCTGAGCCTGTAAGGCCGGGACGTCTAAGTTACAGAACCTGTCAAAGGTGGACGGTGAGGCACAGCCGGCTGCCGCACAGATGTCTGCTATGAACACACCACTAGACCACGCCCAAGAGGAGGCTACACCTCTTGTGGAGTGTGCTCTTACTCCTATGGGGCATTGTAGGCCCAGGGAGGAGTATGTTAGTGCAATAGCATCAACTAACCACCAAGAAATTATCTCCTTTGTGACCGGAAGCCCTTTGGAGTGGTCACCAAAGCATTGTTGTTGTTCCGACTGCCTGAACACAGCAGAACGCTCTATGTAAATTCTCAGAACCCTGACAGGGCAGAGAAGGTTCAACTCTTGGTCCTCTACCGAAGGAGGAAGCGCATTATACAATACTGATTGTGTTAAAGTAGCTTTACAGTGTCAAACAGGAAAATAGTTTGTTAATAATTTGTCAATAAAGAAGACAATAACAAAGAGTCGTTTTTATAGTCAGTTCATTGATGATTCAGTGATGACATCATCCAGTTCAGCTCTCTTCCAAATGTGTCTGTGAAATCAGTCAAGCGTCCCCAACTAAACAAGCCAAAGGCGACACTGGCAAGGAACCAAAACTTCATCAGTGACAGAAATGAAGAAAAAACCTTGGGAGAAACCAGGCTCAGTCGGGGGCCCAGTTCTCCTCTGGCCAGACGAAACCAGCATGGCGTGGTTTAATTTCAGGTTGCATCACAGGTGCAGAGGACTTCTCTGGTCCCCGTGGTCTTGTGCCGATAGTCGTCCAGGTGATGAGGAGTTCACAGGGGATCTGTCTCTGGGGATCATCAATATGAAGTGGTCTCCGCTGACATTCAGAGCTGTAGAGGTTGTCTCTAGGTGCTGATCCACCATCTGATCTGGATACAGACTGGATCCGTATGGCTATGGTGACCTCAGAATAAGAATGAAAGAGACTATTATTAGCATAGATGCTATTCTTCTTATGATGTAGAGAGTACATTGGGTGTTATGGGAAGTGTTCTCGGTTCCGGCTGACCTAATTAATGCAGCCTAACAATCCATTAATGGATTTGAATTAGGACATTATCGCATAGAAATGCGTATTATGTGTATGCCAGGTTAAAGAGATGGGTTCTTTAATCTAGATTTAAACTGACAGAGTGTGTCTGCCTCCCGAACAACGCTAGGTAGATTGTTCCAGAGTTTGGGCACTAATAGGAAAAGGATCTGCCACCCGCAGTTGATTTTGATATTCTAGGTATTATCAAATGGCCACAGTTTTGAGATCACAGCGGATGTGAAGGGCTATAATGTGATATGAGCTCACTTAAGTATTGAAGAGCTAAACCATTCAGGGCTTTATAAGTAATTAGCAAGATTTGAAAATGTATTCGTTGTTTAATTGGGAGCCAGTGTACAGTTTACAGAACCGGGCTAATATGGTCGTACTTCCTGGTTCTAGTAAGAACTGCATTTTGGACCAGCTGGAGTTTGTTTATTAAGCGTGCACAGCAACCACCCAATAAAGCATTACAATAATCTAACCTTGAGGTCATGAACGCATGGATAAACATTTCTGCATTTGACATTGAGAGCATAGGTCGTAATTTAGATATATTTTTAAGATGGAAAAATGTGGTTTTACAAATGCTAGAAACAGGTTTTTCAAAGGAAAGATTGCTATCAAATAGCACATCTTTCTGCCTTGCCAAAGATCTCCCAGACTCTTAGAACCATTTGCAGATGGAGCGTCCACTCCTCTGAGGGGACGTTGCTCAGAGACAGCATGTCTGCACCTTGGTTTAATATGATCAGCACATGCGTTGCCCTCAATGAGCGCAAGTTGAGGTGTGCCAATTCCAAGAGGCGTTTTACCATCTCGTAAAGGCGCTTCGAGGTGAGCCTGCCTTGGCGATTTCTATAAGATACCACTGTCATACTGTCCGAACGGACCAGTACGTGGTGTCCCTTCAGGTCTGGTAAGAAGGTCTGAAGGGCTCGACATACTGCCAGCATTTCGAGGCAGTTGATGTGTGGCCGTTCTTCTGTGTCTGACCAAGAGCTGAATGTCGGTCTGCCCTCGCACAGAGCTTGTGTTGGATGCATCTGTTGAGACAACCTTCCTTCTGTGAACAATACCCATGGTCACACCCCGCTCAAACCACTGAGGGTCTCTCCAAGGGGCCAGAGCTGCTACGCCGGCCTGGTCCACCTTGACTCGAAGGCGTCCGTGACGCCACACATGGGGCAGAACTTGCGATTTCAGCTAGTACAGCAGGGGCCTCATGCAATGCAGGCCCAACTGTAGCACCGGCGATTCAAAGGCCATGAGGCCTAGCATCTTTTCAAACGTCTTGAGAGAGGCTCCAATTTTGAAGGAGGCCGCGAACTGCTGTATGGCCAGTGCACGTTCTGGAGTGACCATCACCCTCATTTGAGTCAAAGACTGCCCCCAGGAATGAGACCCATTGGCTGGGGGACAGTGAGCTATTGGCAAAATTGGTCCTGAGTCCCAGGCACTCCAAGTGGCTGAGGAGGAGGGATCTGTGAGATAGTAGCTCGGCCTCTGACTGGGCTAAGACGAGCCAGTCATCGAGGTAGTTCAGAATGCGGACCCCCATCTTTGCATTTCGTAAAAGTGCGATGAGCCAGGGACAGTCCGAAGGGGAGGACCGTGTATTGATATTCAACTCGTTCAAGTGTTTTTGCAGTGAATGGAAGAAGGGATACTACTCTGTAGTTTTCTAAAAGTGCTGGTTTCTTAAGTAGTGGGATTATCCGAGCCTGTTTAAATGCTGGGGGAAAGACATCAGTGTGAAGGTATGTGTTAATGATGTGTGAGTGAGTGCAGGTACAACTGCAGGAGAAAGTTTATGGTTTGGAGAATTTTGCGCTGATGGTTGTAATGCTATTAATGAAGAATATGGCAAAGTCGTCAGCTGTTAGAGTTGATGAAGGAGGGGGAGGAGGAGGACAAAGGACAGAGGAAAATGTTTTAAAGAGCATGTGAGAGTTAGACGAATTGAAGCGGTGAAAGCAGAAGGGGTGATACAGGCTGGCCTGGAAGATAGGGGGCGTACTGTATCTAAACAAGACGTAAAAGTGAAGCAGAGATTGTCAGTAGCACTGTTAGCATCAGGTGATGAGAACTGTTTAGGAGGAGGAAGTGAAGCTAAAACCATAGAAGATAGCTGAGGGGGTGAGAGTGAGCATAGGTTAAGTCGAAAGGTGGAGGGGTATGTGTTGTGTCAGGAACCATGCTGAGGTTAAGAGTGAGGAGGAAGTGATCCGAAGTATGCAGTGGAGTAACCAGCACATGATCAGTGGAGCAGTGTCGTGTGTAAATAAGGTCCAGTTGGTTTCATGATTTGTGAGTAGCTGCAGTTTACACACTCTTGAGCGGCAAGCAGAGTGTGGAAGTCTGCAGCCTGAGGTTTATCTTGGTGGACGTTGAAGTCTCCAAGCATAACCACAGGAGTGTCATCCTCAGGGAAGGTTGAGAGCAGCTTATCGGGGGTCGATAAATAACTACAAAATGGATTTTTAGAGGGTGAGAATATATATATAATTACTATAGTAATTTATTTTTTCCATTTGAGTCCCTGTCCCTCAGAAACTCTCTGTACATCCTTGTATAAATCTGATTGACTTTAATAAAACTTGAATGTACTTGACGTGTGCTCCAAGCAATAGGAAAATACATGTGTATCGGCAGATACTCAATATTCAATTACTCAGACTGGATCAGGGGCTGATCAATGTCTAGATGAGGCATGCTGTATATTAATTTGTCTAGGCTCCTCATAGCAGTTTACTCTTATGTGTAACTCACTAATGTTTTAGTTTAGTATAACAGTGACTCAAGCCCAGGGGCCTCCAGCCTCATATAAGTCCTGTTGCAATATAACAAAGAGTGAAAAATTTAAGGGGGTCTGAAAACTTTCCGTACCCACTGTATATACACACACACACTTTTTTTTTTTTAATTAGTGACATATTTACACTTACATTAATTTCCGGCATAACACAGTACTGAGAGTTTCTACATTCCTCTAAGTATGTATGTAATCTATCTTATGCATAGAAATGTTGGCAGGCAAAGAAATATTATTTTGTAGTGGGCCCGGAAACAAGAACTCATTATTTCAATGAGAGATGGGGAGCATTAGGAAAACAGTCCAAAGATTCTTCACATTCACTGCCATGCTGTTCACATTTTCTGCATGACCTGCAAAACACTTCATCCAATTACCATTGTGTCTCCTTTTCCTCTTAAACGGCTTGATCTCAGGAGGTTTGACAGATTTAAAACACTATGGATTAAAGACAAATTGACAGAACATACACATTTCCTTTATTCCCTTAAGTTCCTCTGCTTTTATTATTACACTTTAATTATGGTTTAATTTTAAAACAACATTAAAAAACAAACCTTAATTCATAGCTGACAAAGGTTTTTTTATATATTCTAGAATACTTCATGAAGGGTTAATTTATGGTACGGTGGGAAAACTTGTAATTATAAATTTGTAGTTACTGCATGTGCTGCACTTTTAAAGAATCACTAAGAGATTGATTTATACAACTTCTGATCACAGAGCTTATTTAGTTATTAATGCTTCTATAGTTTATATGACTGCAGATGTAAAATGAACATTTTTGAAGACAAGCTCCTTCATTTGAATTCAGGAATATCATTAAAAGCATGAAAGAGTTAAGGGAGAGCATCAGCAAAAATACAGTATATCTGCTGAAAAACAGTATCCTAGCTCTATGTATTTACTCTGGAAATATTTTTATCAATAGTTGGTTCTTATTAGTTGAATGTAGATTTTTCTTCAGTTTGAAAAAAAATGCTTGGAAAAACTGTAAATATGAAAATATGGACAAATAAACATTCAAACTTGAAAAAACAGCTATAACAAAACATTTGGCCCCGTCAAAATTGAACCAACACAGAAAACATGTTTGAATTAATTCCTTCTTTAAAAAAACAACTGTTCATATCTCATCCTGTAATAAGTTCATAAAGTGTCCATTTTCAGTGCTTTATCGTGTTCAGGAGTCATTCATGGGCGAGGGATGTCCATTGGCTCTTCCTTCTCCGACTGGTTGCAGTTCGTTGTGTTCTTCTCATGGCTCTCTGATTGGATGCTCATCCTCATCGAGCCGGGCTTGGGAATCTTCTCAGACTGTGTTGGTGCATTGTGTTTAGGGCTGTCAGTCACTGTCCTGTCCTCACTCGTCCCTGAGGCCGTTTCTTCACGCTCCTCCTGGGAGTCAGCAGGACTGTCCATCTCTTCCCGAGTCTCGTCACAGTCTGCTGATCCTGCTCTAGAACCAGCTACATGTCCCCAGTTCGAGAGCTCTGCCGCTTGCTCGGGTGTCTGGATGACCTGTTGGCCTTCAGCACAGCTCGGCTCATCGCTGACAGTCTCTCCGTTGTTAACACCGGTGCCATTACTGAGAACAGCATCTGGATTGGGCTCCTGATCTTCTGCAGAGCCCTCGGAGTGTTTCTCAGAGTTGACTCTCATTATGGAGTCACTGTCGACTTGCTTCTTTGCATCTGTGGGATCAGCGACAGGCTTGCTATGTTTTGGTTCACTTGCGGCTTCTCCGTCTTTATTTTTGTATGGTGAGTGACCTTCGTCCTGCGCTGCACTCTCTCCGCTGCCAGCTGAAGAGTTCTGCCTCTTCTCCGACTTCTTCTTGAAGCGTTTCTGGATTTTTCTGGGGCACCACACAAACTTGTCTTTGGGCTCAAAGTGCTGGAAGGCGAAGCGCACCAGCTTCCTGCGCTCACGCTTGTCCCGCACGGCAAACAGGAAGTAGTCGAGCACGCTGCGTTTAACGCTGCTGAGGGTCTTTCTGACGAGGGTCTCTTCCAGGAAGAAGCGCACCAGAGGGGCTTGGAAATGCTCAAAACCCAGCTCTCCCAGGCTCTTGAGTATCCTTGTGATTCGGAGATTATTGTGCATGTTTCTGAAAGCAGATGTGAAATTATTTTAGTGGCATGTGAGAAAGACTGGAAATAAAGAAAGAGTGAAAAGGTTTCGATTCATCCTAATACATCCCAGGAAGAAGCGCACCAGAGGGGCTTGGAAATGCTCAAAACCCAGCTCTCCCAGGCTCTTGAGTATCCTTGTGATTCGGAGATTATTGTGCATGTTTCTGAAAGCAGATGTGAAATTATTTTAGTGGCATGTGAGAAAGACTGGAAATAAAGAAAGAGTGAAAAGGTTTCGATTCATCCTAATACATCCTATAAGCCCACTTGTCTTTTTAAAATGTAGGTATTATTTATTTTCTTTTCACTTACCTGTTATTTTTTAAATTCATTTAAAAAAATGTTAAAATTAGAAATTAATAAATCAGTTGCAAAGCATAAAATGGTAAAAAAAAAACATGATTGTATAAAATGTTTTTAATGTTATCATTATGAGAAAAAAAATACAACTGCAATCAGAAATCATCAGGGTCCAAGCACTAATGTAGACAATTCAGTGATAATGAAACTGTCATCTAGCTTTTCAAAACATAGTGTTTTTAAGTGTCTCTTCAAAAAACATTATGATATTTATTAACAGATACAATTCTATTTTCTCAGATTTTCTCCTATCTCCATAGAAAAGCAATATATTCAGTTTCATTAGGATGTGTGTGTGTGTGTGTGTATATACAGTGGGGCAAAAAAGTATTTAGTCAGCCACCAATTGTGCAAGTTCTCCCACTTAAAAAGACGAGAGAGGCCTGTAATTTTCATCATAGGTATACCTCAACTATGAGAGACAAAATGAGAAAAAAAAAATCCAGAAAATCACATTGTATGATTTTTAAAGAATTAATTGGTAAATTCCTCGGTAAAATAAGTATTTGGTCACCTACAAACAAGCAAGATTTCTGGCTCTCACAGACCTGTAACTTCTTTTTTAAGAGGCTCCTCTGTCCTCCACTGGTTACCTGTATTAATGGCATCTGTTTGAACTTGTTATCAGTATAAAAGACACCTGTCCACAACCTCAAACAGTCACACTCCAAACTCCACCATGGCCAAGACCAAAGAGCTGTCAAAGGACACCAGAAACAAAATTGTAGACCTGCACCAGGCTGGGAAGACTGAATCGGCAATAGGTAAGCAGCTTGGTGTGAAAAAATCAAGCATCAGCAAAAATACAGTATATCTGCTGAAAAACAGTATCCTAGCTCTATGTATTTACTCTGGAAATATTTTTATCAATAGTTGGTTCTTATTAGTTGAATGTAGATTTTTCTTCAGTTTGAAAAAAAATGCTTGGAAAAACTGTAAATATGAAAATATGGACAAATAAACATTCAAACTTGAAAAAACAGCTATAACAAAACATTTGGCCCCGTCAAAATTGAACCAACACAGAAAACATGTTTGAATTAATTCCTTCTTTAAAAAAACAACTGTTCATATCTCATCCTGTAATAAGTTCATAAAGTGTCCATTTTCAGTGCTTTATCGTGTTCAGGAGTCATTCATGGGCGAGGGATGTCCATTGGCTCTTCCTTCTCCGACTGGTTGCAGTTCGTTGTGTTCTTCTCATGGCTCTCTGATTGGATGCTCATCCTCATCGAGCCGGGCTTGGGAATCTTCTCAGACTGTGTTGGTGCATTGTGTTTAGGGCTGTCAGTCACTGTCCTGTCCTCACTCGTCCCTGAGGCCGTTTCTTCACGCTCCTCCTGGGAGTCAGCAGGACTGTCCATCTCTTCCCGAGTCTCGTCACAGTCTGCTGATCCTGCTCTAGAACCAGCTACATGTCCCCAGTTCGAGAGCTCTGCCGCTTGCTCGGGCGTCTGGATGACCTGTTGGCCTTCAGCACAGCTCGGCTCATCGCTGACAGTCTCTCCGTTGTTAACACCGGTGCCATTACTGAGAACAGCATCTGGATTGGGCTCCTGATCTTCTGCAGAGCCCTCGGAGTGTTTCTCAGAGTTGACTCTCATTATGGAGTCACTGTCGACTTGCTTCTTTGCATCTGTGGGATCAGCGACAGGCTTGCTATGTTTTGGTTCACGTGCGGCTTCTCCGTCTTTATTTTTGTATGGTGAGTGACCTTCGTCCTGCACTGCGCTCTCTCCGCTGCCAGCTGAAGAGTTCTGCCTCTTCTCCGACTTCTTCTTGAAGCGTTTCTGGATTTTTCTGGGGCACCACACAAACTTGTCTTTGGGCTCAAAGTGCTGGAAGGCGAAGCGCACCAGCTTCCTGCGCTCACGCTTGTCCCGCACGGCAAACAGGAAGTAGTCGAGCACGCTGCGTTTAACGCTGCTGAGGGTCTTTCTGACGAGGGTCTCTTCCAGGAAGAAGCGCACCAGAGGGGCTTGGAAATGCTCAAAACCCAGCTCTCCCAGGCTCTTGAGTATCCTTGTGATTCGGAGATTATTGTGCATGTTTCTGAAAGCAGATGTGAAATTATTTTAGTGGCATGTGAGAAAGACTGGAAATAAAGAAAGAGTGAAAAGGTTTCGATTCATCCTAATACATCCTATAAGCCCACTTGTCTTTTTAAAATGTAGGTATTATTTATTTTCTTTTCACTTACCTGTTATTTTTTAAATTCATTTAAAAAAATGTTAAAATTAGAAATTAATAAATCAGTTGCAAAGCATAAAATGGTAAAAAAAAAAAAAAAAAAGGATTTAAAAAAAAAAAAACAATTACTTCCTGCGCTCACGCTTGTCCCGCACGGCAAACAGGAAGTAGTCGAGCACGCTGCGTTTAACGCTGCTGAGGGTCTTTCTGACGAGGGTCTCTTCCAGGAAGAAGCGCACCAGAGGGGCTTGGAAATGCTCAAAACCCAGCTCTCCCAGGCTCTTGAGTATCCTTGTGATTCGGAGATTATTGTGCATGTTTCTGAAAGCAGATGTGAAATTATTTTAGTGGCATGTGAGAAAGACTGGAAATAAAGAAAGAGTGAAAAGGTTTCGATTCATCCTAATACATCCTATAAGCCCACTTGTCTTTTTAAAATGTAGGTATTATTTATTTTATTTTCACTTACCTGTTATTTTTTAAATTCATTTAAAAAAATGTTAAAATTAGAAATTAATAAATCAGTTGCAAAGCATAAAATGGTAAAAAACAAAAAAAAAGGATTCTACAATGACAAACACGATTATATAAAATGTTTTTAATGTTATCATTACGAAAATAAATGAAAATAATGAAACTATCATGTATCTTTTCAAGTGTCTCTTCAAAAAAACATTACAATATATACTAACATAAAAATATTATATTTTCTCCTATTTTCATAGGGAATATATATCTATATATGTATATGGGTCAAAGACGAAAAAGGGTTTAAGCATAAAAACAATGGGCCTCATTCATGAAACATTCGTAAATATAAGAGTAAATTCGGAGTAATTAGCGTGTAATATGGACCTTCACGAAAACTCTCCTCCGGATTCACAAACACTTGTAAACTTACGAGTTGATAGTTAATCATGCGTAATTGCGTATGTTAATGAATTCCAATCATTCGTAAACAGGGCGCTCGTGCACGCTCATTCACGATTAGCATAATGATATTAGATGATAGAAGCCTGAGAATTACAGCTACGCAAACTGCGAGTCCAGGAACACAGTGGAATATTCTGGTCTACTTTCTCAGGTTTGGCTCCAGTATATTGCATAAATGCAAAAAAGACCAATAGGCCATGTGCCTAACAATAAATATTCAATAACGTGTCCACCAAAGTGTTTTTAGCCAGCTGAGAAACTGTCAGGCGCTTTTCTGAAAACGCTTTTCTGGTGGCGCTGGAGGATGCTTTAGTGGCACAGCGGATTGCTATCATTTGAAATATCCACGGCAGTATTACTAGTATCTCATTTTGAAGAATATTACTGAATCTAAAAATGCAGTAACCAGCAATATGAACTTCTCTATAGTTGTTCAGCTGTTGTACAAGCAGGATGATTGGTCGGTGTAGTATTTGTCCCGCCCCTCCTCCACTGATTGGACGGCTGGGTAAAAAGTGACAGTGGCGAGCACTGCGCTTTACCCAAAGCTAAACAGTTGATCAACTCCCAGCTACAAAAACCACAAACAAAAACAGAGCAAATGAACTTGTAAGATATTATGATGGCAGTGCATCAAAATTCAGTGTCATCGGTTTGCCAAAGAGAGCACAGAGCGTTTTACGCACCATTTACACGTGGCAGGGAGCAGGTGTACATTTCTCGTTCCTGCTAACATTTAGAAAATACGAACACTTTCATGAATCCGGAAATTTACATCAGAACAGCTTTACGAACGATTTACACAATTTGTTCTGCTCGTGTTTCATGAATGAGGCCTAATAATTGTAATACTGCTTTAAATTGTTGTTTTTCCCAAAATAATTTAAGTTTTGTTTAATTGAATTGCAATTTTGTTTTTGTTTTTCTGAGCATAAAATCATACATTTTCCCTGATTTACAGAAGAGACACTAAAATGTCATTCAGTATAACAATCTTGTCAGGCATATTTACAACAAAAATCCATTTATGACACATTAAAAGACTAATTACCTTAACCCCAAATACTAATCAGTTGTAATTTTACATTTTTTAAATGTGCCACTATCCTAGGTTTTGCCCATTTGTCAGTAAGAGTTTTTTTACTACGGTAATTTAAAACACAATCAAATTTAATATGCTCCCTTATTCTTTACTATATTTTAATTTGTACAATAATGAATAAGCATGTTGTTTAAATTTTTACACTGAACGATAATGTAACATTATTTCAACCACATTTTGATATTTTATTCTCCAAAAACTTATTTGAAACCTTACTTATTGACTGTGAAGCTATTAAACCATTTACAACAAAGCTAAACTATGAGACTGAAAAAGGTCTCATCATCTAGTGGACAAGCTCAGTTTTCCAGCCTTCGGCTGTCATTCACGTGGATATAAATGGTTGTGCTTATGAAATGTTCTTCAGAATGTCCTGTTTTTCATGTTTTCTGAAGTTTGGACAATCACTCAATATCTGCCACACTCCAAAATATATCAGCATGTATGTGTTAATTAAATTAATCCAAATAATCAATTCATTCTAAAACATTGTGTCTCAAGATTTTACATTTTGTGCAAATTGGACAAACAGAAAAAAAATGTGCATCTGGGGTACGGAATAATTCAGAGGAAAAAAAAGTAAATGAGCTCATTATAGCGCCACCTTAGAGCCAATTTGATATGTTATTAGCTGCCGAAATTTGATGTGATCTTCTGTTGATTTGTCATGGCTTTGTTAACACTTGTCCAGGGTGCAAATCAAATGCACTATTCCTTGATCAAACTGCTATGACAGGTGTTTGGTTGTAATGCCTCTCCAAAAACTTATTTGAAACCTTACTTATTGACTGTGAAGCTATTAAACCATTTACAACAAAGCTAAACTATGAGACTGAAAAAGGTCTCATCATCTAGTGGACAAGCTCAGTTTTCCAGCCTTCGGCTGTCATTCACGTGGATATAAATGGTTGTGCTTATGAAATGTTCTTCAGAATGTCCTGTTTTTCATGTTTTCTGAAGTTTGGACAATCACTCAATATCTGCCACACTCCAAAATATATCAGCATGTATGTGTTAATTAAATTAATCCAAATAATCAATTCATTCTAAAACATTGTGTCTCAAGATTTTACATTTTGTGCAAATTGGACAAACAGAAAAAAAATGTGCATCTGGGGTACGGAATAATTCAGAGGAAAAAAAGTAAATGAGCTCATTATAGCGCCACCTTAGAGCCAATTTGATATGTTATTAGCTGCCGAAATTTGATGTGATCTTCTGTTGATTTGTCATGGCTTTGTTAACACTTGTCCAGGGTGCAAATCAAATGCACTATTCCTTGATCAAACTGCTATGACAGGTGTTTGGTTGTAATGCACTCTACACCTGAGATCTGGGGAGTCACTAGAGCACGAGCCCTGTCAAATATTACAGATATATCCTTGTGTGTCAATGGAACCGACCGGAGAATCATTTTCCCTGATAATATTTCAACAATCAAGGCATGTGTGTTTTCTATCAGCTGTTTAGAATCAGCAATATCACATTCACATGTCACAAAACTGGCTTCTATCGTTTGTCAACCAATGACGAAGCAGCTCTTTTCTGTGAGTGCAGCTTGTAAATGACTCTATGATGATTTATATCCATGTCCAAAACAGTCTTAAAAGAAAGCCAGTGACCCAGTACTGGTGAAGGGACTCGCTGAATGCCTGAAAACAGCTGTAGATTAGAAGAGCAATAAACAGCCATCCTTTAGTTTGAAGGAACACTTTGGATACATGTTTTATGATTAATAACTGGAGTCTGGTGCAGCTCACCTCTCTAGATTGACGAATCTCTCCCTCCAGTTCTCGGCGCGCTTCACCTCCCCGGTTTCTCTGTTCAGCAGCTGCATGCCGTAGAAACCCAGCATGAGCTCGTAGGACTCCAGAAGACGGCTCTTAGCCTCATCGCTCTCCCTGAAGGCCTGCAGATGACAGGACGAGAGTCAGCTTCAGCACCGTGCACAGTCCCAGACGCTTCCAGAGCACAGTCTAGAGCAGGGGTGCCCAAACTCGGTCCTGGAGGGCCGGTGTCCTGCAGTTTAGCTCCAGCTTGCCTCAACACACCTGCCTGGAAGTTTCTAGTATGCCTAGTAAGAGCTTGATTATCTGGTTCAGGTGTGTTTGATTAGGGTTTGAGCTAAACTCTGCAGGACACCGGCCCTCCAGGACCGAGTTTGGGCACCCCTGGTCTAGAGGCTTTGAAACAGAGCGTGGCCTCTTTATGACTTACTTGGATTTCCTTCTTGGTGAGCTCTGCAGCCATGTAGTTGACCCCTGGCTCTCGCAGAGGAAACAACCTACAAACAACACAGCTTTAAGTGCCCAAAGCATTGCATCTGCAACAAAACCGAGTGAAAAGGAGACTTTGACAGTCCCAAACGCATAAGCACGAGGTTTCTTACCACTGAATGTAGGAGTGAACTCTCTCCAGCCGCTTGTAATCGGTTTTCCACTCGGTGAGAAATGTCTCAATCGACACGTCTACAGAACAGAAAACATGACAGGAGCTCACAAACAAAGCAGTGCAATACACCTCAACTTAGGCACTTGTTACTGGAGCTCAACAGAAAGCACAGACGTACCATCAGGTGACGATTTAATTTCATTCAGATAGAATTTTAAATTCGTCATTCTTTCTTCTGGACATTCGTCTTCATTGATGTTCTGTGGATGTAAAGAATATCAGATCAGCATGTTAGGAGTGCACTTGGTTTATTTTAAGAGAAGAGCAGACTCTTACTGGATATCCATGTCTGTAGTTCTGCATGTCCTTGGCCGCTCTGAGGTTTCTTGAGGAAGAGTTGGACCACTGCAAAGAACCAAACATTACCTTCAACCTCCTGCTTTAATTGGCTGCGTCAGTCAAAACTGTTAATTCATCTAATTGTGTGTCTCTGGAAAATTGTGATCTATGACATTTTATACTGTTGAATATCAAAGTGTTTTGTGTTGATTTGTTAATGAGGGTTTTTAGATTTGTGGAGTAAAAGTTATAGTTTTTATTTTGAAGTGAGATGAGAAGTGGCACATGTTGCATGTTTCAGACATCTTCACTTTAATTAAAGGGGTCACGAACTGAGAAACCCTTTGATGTTTTGACACACAAGAAGTCATTGCGCTATAGAAGCATCCTGTAAGTGTCTCATTAGTCTAAAAGCAGCTTATATTAAAGGCAATCCGCCAAAAGGCCAGCTTGTGGAAAGTGCCTCGCTGTGTGTGGAGAGCATCCGGGTCATCTCGCTGCGTGCGGAGAGCATCCGGGTCATCTCGCTGCGTGCGGAGTGCATCCGGGTCGTCTCGCTGCGTGTGGAGAGCATCCGGGTCATCTCGCTGCGTGTGGAGAGCATCCGGGTCATCTCGCGGCGTGCGGAGAGCATCCGGGTCATCTCGCTGTGTGCGGAGAGCATCCGGGTCGTCTCGCTGTGTGTGGAGAGCATCCGGGTCATCTCGCTGCGTGCGGAATGCATCCGGGTCGTCTCGCTGCCCGTGGAGAGCATCCGGGTCGTCTCGCTGTGTGTGGAGAGCATCCGGGTCGTCTCGCTGTGTGTGGAGAGCATCCGGGTCGTCTCGCTGCGTGTGGAGAGCATCCGGGTCGTCTCGCTGCGTGTGGAGAGCATCCGGGTCGTCTCGCTGCGTGTGGAGAGCATCCGGGTCGTCTCGCTGCGTGTGGAGAGCATCCGGGTCGTCTGTGTGTGGAGAGCATCCGGATACTGCGGATACTTCGTGTGTGGAGAGCATCCGGATACTGCGCGCGTGTGTGAACGCAGCCATTCTCTCGCACATGCTAACTTGTATGTGCTACATTTGTAAAGGAAAGCCACATTGTTCTTCCCCATCTTCTCTTATATAAATCACTGGAAAAGGAAATATTGTGGTGCATCACATTTACATCGGTAACAAGATGCTCCGATTCAAAGAGTCTACGGTCCGGTCTCAAGATCCCAAGCACCTGGCATCATGCCTATTGTTAGGGTCATGGTCATGAGCAAATGCTGTGAAAGATTGTTGCAGACTGAAGACGTCTCAAACAGCTTCTCATCTGTGGCCTAATGTCGGCTAGTACGAGTGACGCACTTCCGGTCAGCAGAGCTGATATTAAAGAACTAGCTAACGTGCTAATCTATCAAACACGATCAGATATTAGAAGTAAACCAAATGCAGAGAGATAACCTCTCAAAGGGCTTGATTTACACACGTCCCTCCTGCAGCAGCGCGCGGAGTTATAACGTTAGACCGTCGTTCTCGCACACAAACACAAACACAAACACAAACACATGAAGCGCATACAGGCGACCGGTCCGAGCTCAAAGCGCACGATCTGTGCAGACCGCAGAAAGAGCGCAGTGCAGAGGTTCGCGGATTAATGAGAGAGAGTAACATACGAAAGCGGGCCGTGTTTTCTTGCTGCGGCCGGTGTTGTCCCGCTCGTCGCCGTCGCTCTCCGTGTCCCAGGTGGAGTCATATTCACACAGCAGCTCGTCGTCCATCCCCGGAGATCATGCGAGTGCTGACACATGCGAGTGCGATCAATAACCTGGCGCGGGGCGAGAGTCCGCGCAGCTCCATGAGACGAGCAGAGGGTTATTCAGCCTTCAGCCCATTCACCCACACACACTCACACTCTCACACACACACACACACCCCGAGAGGAACTCACAGCCCAACAATAAACCACAAGAAAACATCTAAACTTGCAGCAGAACACATTTATATTGATATTACACATATTATTTGATTATTTTAGTTATCATTATTATTTATTATTTTGTCTTTTTTGACAGTTCTGCAGCTGTTACCTGGATGGGATGAAGAATTTCTAGTTTTCTTTTATTCATTTGCTTAAATTAGGACTACATGATGTAATTATTTGTTACATTTTTATCTAAATAATTTAGCACTTTTTAAACTTTTTTAAATGACAAATTGCCAAATATGATGATTTATTATGTATATATTTATGATTAATATAAATGATAAATTAATAAATAGGGCCTAACATTAATTATAATATATTAATTCATAATAATGTCTACCAAGCACGGATAATGTATGGAATACTAACAGACTATCCAAATAAATTTTAATAAAACAATAGGCCAATACCTTTAGAAGCACGGATGTGTCTGTCACTTTAAATATGGTTCACCCAAAAATAAAATTGTTCTAAACCTGCATAAAGTTCTTTCATCTGTTGAACACAAATGAAGATAGGCTACTCTGGAGAATGTGGGTATCTAAACAGCTGCAGGTCCCCAGTAACTTCCATAGGGGAATAAATATAGCCTACTAGCGGAGTCATTGGTACCAGACACTGTTTGGTTACCCACATTCTTCAAAGTATCTTCTTTTATGTTCAACAGAAGAAAGAAATTATTACAGGTTTGGAACAAATTGTGAGTGTGTAAACGATGACAGAATTTTTATTTTTGGGTGAACTGTCCCTTTAAGTCAGTCAGTCCACCGTGAGCAACTGAAATGCTTATCTGCAAACTGCACGTTCATCATTAGTTACTGGACAGACCCGTTGATAACTTTCCCGTTCAGCCCTACATCTGGAGAGTCTTGTGTTCAAACGTGAGCCACGCAGGTTTACCGCACGCTGCGTTCCGTGTGAAAGAGCCTTAAAGGCACAATATGTAAGATTTTTTTATTAAAATATCCAAAAACCACTAGAACAGTGTTATATATTTTGTTGACTTGTGTACTTACATTATCCCACATGTTACGAAGAATGTTTAAATCCAGAGAAATAAGCAATTTTAACTAGTGACACGGACCGTGTCTAAAGGTTCATAGTGTCCCCTGCCAATGACGGCATAACCCCTCGATTTCCGGTTTTGTTTTGTAGAAAGCATGGAAACACCAAAGACGCTTTAATATGTTGTGTGTTTTAATAGACCGGTGACGACTGCACAGAGTAGCATTATAACAGAACTAAATGTATCTAGTATGATAAAACAGCGCTGCTTTACCCCACATACGCACGACCGGAAGCAGCGGAAGCGCTCGACTGTGGCATAATAAAAGTTAAATAAAAAACAAAAATTAGGTTAAAAGGGAAAAGTAAAGAATTCATAAACTACAAATGGCAAGAAGTATGGAACTGTGGGCAGACATATGTATAATACTCAGCAGCAAGTAGGAAATGGAAGAAGTGTTTTTAGGAATAGGAAAGAAGATACAGTTATTTCTCGCATCCGAATAGGGCAGACTAGATTAAATCACTCTCTGTTTAATATAGGAAAACATGAAACAGGTCAATGTATTTATTGTAATCGGGCAGAAACAATAGTGCATGTTTTCATAAAATGTAAAAAAAAATATGGAAAAGAAAGGTTAAAACTCATTAAGGAAGTAAGAAACATGGGTGTTGAATCATTTAATTTGACAAGCCTTTTGAAAGAGCATACAGAACAAGGTAAAATATATGGTGCTATTATAAAACATATTAAAGAAGTAGGATTAACCAGGGGCATTTATTTATTTATTATTAGTGCGTCCCACTCCAGTCCAGTTGGTGGCGGTAAATGCACCAGAAGTTGGTTTGCCATCCGCCATAAAACATTATTAGAAGCCGCAGCAGAAGAAGAAGCGAGCCGCCAATGCGGTTGGAGGGCGGCAGCGTGTGTGTGTGGTGACACTGCAGCTCGGTTAAACCAGCAGTGTTTTCTTATATCTGCATTGAAATCTCTTTCGACTCACTTTTGAATGGCTTAAAACGCTTTTAATGTTTAAACTGAAAAGGCTTAAAACACGTGAGAATGATAGAGCAGCACTAGCGCGATCATTCAGAGAGGTGTTTAGTTAAACTTAATTCTCTTAACACATGTTAGACTGCACCCCATAAACACAATCAAGCCTAGAAAAAAACCACTGAACCACCCATTTAACAGCAGGTGAATTCGCAGGTGAACATAAAATATGTTACATACCACTACTGGTGAACGAGTCAGTGTAATGCAATTATGTCTGAAAGGTCTGACATAAGATGCCAAATGAACGATACTGTATGAAGCGTTGTTTGTTTACATCACGTTGCACCTCGCGTTATGAAAACAATGTTTGGAATATAATGATCAAAACTTCGTGATATAGATGAAGTGATATTGATATAAATATTGTACATGTTGAATATTCATCCAAATTATGGTGAAAATCAAAACATTTGTGTGATAAAATAACATTTGTGTGTTCAGAAGTGTTTTCTTATATGGTGAAAACTTCATCGGGACATCAAACCAAGAACTGTGATCTGTCAGGTGATCCTGAGAAAAAGAGAGGTGATGATTTAGCAGGAGTCAGGTCGAAGAAAATAAGAGGCAGTGGAGGTGTTGGAGAAGGAAACGAGGAAAGAGAGAAGGCAGATGGCGACTTCAAAATTATATTGAGATTTGCGGAGGAGAAGGGAATTTTGTCAATGAGTCTGGTAAAGTTAACAACCGTTTAAAAAAATCAGGTCGGTGATATTAATTTGGCAAAGGTGTTGAGAGATGGCAATTTGTTGATTGTTTGTAGAAGCGAGGAACAGAGACAGCGGGCTGGTAGGATGAAAGAAATAGGGAGGAATAAAGTGGTGAGTGTAAATTATATAGAAAGAGGAACTAAATGGTGTAAAGGAGTAAAGGAGGGATCTGGGGAGTGCCAGTCAGCAGAACTATTGAAGGCAAACTTAAAGGGAGGAAGTGTGAAGGGTGTTCGGAGGCTGCAGGTAACTCGTGAGGGAGTAAGGCTAGACAGCGAGTCTATCATGGTTCAATTTGAAGAAGAAGTGCTTCCCAAAAAAGTAACTCTAGGCTTTATGAGATATAATGTAAGAGAATATGTACCAAAGCCAATGAGATGTTACAACTGTCAAAGATTTGGTCATACAGCCAAAACCTGCAAAGGCAGAAGAAGATGTGGAGAAGCTCATGATTATGAGCAGTGTGGTCACATGGAGCAACCCAGATGCTTTACTGAAATAAATGAACTTTTCCATGACATTCTAATTTATTGAGATGCACCTGTATGCAGAGGCTGTGAGGATAGTAAGTCAGAGAGGAGGAAATGGAGAAAGAAGCAGTACAGGTAAGCAACTCGATAAGGATTCAGATCAGGCAAATGAAGAGAAGGTGATGGTTGACATTAAGAAACTAGTCACATTCATAGCAGGAGTAATCAATGCTACAATGGGGATCAAGTCTAAAACAGAGAGAATACAGATTATTGTAAAAGCAGCTGTCCAGCATCTAGATATCAGAGGACTGACATGGGAGGAGGTTAGAAATGATCTCAGTGTCCAAACAAGTCAAGAACAGTCAGGAACTGGATAGTGTTGATAATGGTGCAGGAATTTAAAAAGTTTATAGATGATTTGCCCATTAAGCCAGATGTGATTTGTGTACAGGAAACGTGGTTGAAACCAAACTTGGATTTTAGAATAGTTGGTTATTCATCTGTTAGACGTGATAGGGAGGAGGGAAATGGACGGGGATGTGCTACATTTATTCAGGAAGATATTGCATTTAGAGAGGTGAGTATAGGAAGTGAGCAAGATTATGTTGGTGTAGA